TGAAAATGGAAGAAATCGGGACTGAAGATAAGAGTTTTATTCGAAAGGTTATTGAACCTTTAAATTTGTTTACCTTCTCAGGGTTAAGTAAAACATACAGATATATAGCAAAGGTGCATACATACATATGTATACAAGTATACTCTTGATACAATAATATGATTCCTCAAGGATAAAGTTTTTGACAAATCTAATCAAGTAGTGACATAATTATATAAGTATGTACATAAGTACGAATAAAGGTCTTGTGATATCAGTCCGGTCGAGCTTTTTTGAAAGTCAGGTTCTTAAACTATATATAAATATACATAATTTGAAATATCAAAATTTTATATTCATACAAACACAGGTGACAATCTCAAGAAACTTAATGAAATACCTAGAACAACATAACACAGCCAATGTACTTGCTGTCTCTTCTTCTCGACAATAACTCCGTACATCTCGTACAGCAAGGGATCGTACAACCTTTCGCAAAATATTTCTAACGAAAACTTCTAGTGCCGAGTCATCGAAAGTCGACTTCGTGCACGCTTCTGGTCAATATCGTAGGAAGGGAGTGATATCGCCGAAAGAGGACTTTACCTTTCAACTGCCTACCCAGTCCTGTTGGCAAGAGTAATTCTGCGTTTATTTTCGAGGCTTATATTATTATTGGCATTCAGGCTAGTTTTAAGATATACGAATCTGCAACCTTGAAGTTATGACTATCAAGCAGTGACAAAGCGAGCGCGTCGACTGTTTCTTAGAAATCTGATATATCTGTTCTATTCCCCGTTTAATAGCACAACTAACATAATTTAGGGCACTTAATAGTTGTTGGTTAATAACGAATTGAATAATACAACAAGAGATTACATGGCTGATGTTGGTTCAGTAGTAGAGCACTAGCCGTCTAAGTCAAGATCCAGAAGGAGTCTGGTGAGGAGATGGGATGAAACAGATGTCTCTTCTACTATTTCTCTTTGTTTTATAACAAAATATTCTTTTCATATTCGCTATATTCGAATAAATCAGGCGGTAGGTCACGGGCTTGCGAATTCTTTTTCTGTAATTCTTTGAGCTGTTAATCGCCATTCGATCTTCGTTATAAATGATACATAATGTCTTTTCCATCATATTCGGATGTGTTCATTATCTCCGTGTGTTGCACTTATACTGTCATTCTATAGGCTGGAGAAGTGCAGTCCCATCTAGAAACCGGCATCTATTCACAGTCGTTTCGTGCAGTATCTTCTGTTGGCCAGCTTTTTAAGCCCATCGCACACATGCACTTTGACCTCTTTCTTTTTCTGAATGAAATTGTGACTTGCTTCATTCTTCAACTCTGCTATCCGCACATATTTCTGTGAACCCTAAATTTACGAGGTAAACAGTATAGTTTTTCAGTATCAGTATCAGTTCTTCTGTCCACATTGCCATTGACATTGAAAACTAATAGTTCGTCTGGTGGCCATTTATAGGAAGCTTGTTTTGTAGATCCTTCATATCAAGCTGGTGTTAAATTGCTCCTAGAACCCCAAATTTGTTTATGCTAGAATCTAATACTACAGATAAGCATATTTATATGGTAGAAATCCCTTGATGTCTTTAGAAATTAGTTCTTATTGGAATAACTCCAAAACTTAGGTAATTTGAGATAAAACAGAAAAAAATTTTGAATCCGATTGTAAGGAGGGTGATTGGTAGTTTTTCCCTTGCTTCGTTAATAAACACCAGACAAGTGTTTGATTAATCCACCTTCGGCTTCTCCAGGGTTCTCTTAGCTACTTTAAGTTTTAGGAAATTTTATTTGCTTAATGGTTGTAAATAAAGTCTTCTCTGTCACGGAGAGTTCTTATTGGACTGGTGCCTTAAGAACTATATGAGAGTACACTCCATAAAACGGAGTTTCAAAATAATGTAGTACATAAATAATTCAGACTATTTTCAAAAATCCAGAGCAGAAAAAATCACGAAGCTGCATAAAACAGACATAAAAAAATCCGGACCTGATTAAATACACATACTCGAAATCCTGATAAGTATCCCTCCCAATAGGACCAAATAAGTTATTGGGGGTACACATTAATTCAGTCCAGGTTTCGCATCTGTAACTATAATTATGCACACTGTCTGTTCCTGACGACAACATTGTTTTTAGCCTCTTCAAAAATGTCCGGATTTGTTTTAACTAAACATCGTTTTCTGGATATTTCTATTTTAATTGGAAGAAAACTGCAGCTGGATCTCATCAAATGCTTGCGGAAATATACGATGTAATGCAGAGGGGGGTTTCGATGCGGGTACAAATGGGTGTGGTGTACTATAAGCTGCTAAAACCAACCGAAACCATTGATGTGAAATATTAACTACTACAACAAATACGTTTGAGCCGTCATTGCGTGAAGAACGTCCAGAAGCGACCGAAAGTCACGACAACGACAACGACAACAACATTGAGCCGTCATTGCGTGAAGAACGTCCAGAAGCGACCGAAAGTCATAACAAGCGGTTTTTGCAACGACAAAACTGGGTTCCGTGTGGCTGTAACTTTGACAAAATGCCTGCAAATGCTTAAATTGCACCTACGAAAGACCTCCTTCCGTAAGCTCCAGGCCTTGCTTCTTCTGATTACTGTATTTTTCGATGGCTGCGAAACTGTTTACATCAGTTCGGGCATTTTGAGGGATGGTACAATAATAGGGTTGAGGATCGCTTGGTAATCGTTGAAGAGATTTTCGTCCGAGCTCGTTCTCCAATTTGGGCTGGTTGTTTTCCCAACAAGCGGATAGACCTATAACTTATTCCAAGTCGCCTTCGAAAATCTGTTGGATTTTTAGGTGAAGCTTTTTATTTCATGTAAGAAATTTACTCAAAGAGAGAGACTTTCTTTGTCGATATATTTTTTATAACTTCGGAGGGTCACATGCTTGAACCTTGTGTAAACCGTTACTCAAAGACCTCGAAATTTTTTCGAAAAATAAAGTTTTCTAGTTGGAAATAATAAAAATTCATTCGAGAGACGTTTAAAATTTGTAGAACCCTCCATCAGTGAGAAAAACATCAAGATGTCCACAACAAATTGGAAGATAAGATCGGTAGATATGTATGCCATACATCTGTTCGTTCTGGCAGCCCAATTATTGTAATTTCCGTGATCCGTTACCAATCTACTTCGCTTGTAAGTAACTCTAGAGCTTCCAAAGGAAATTGGCTGAATCGAAAAGTTATGGACCTTCTAATGAATATAGATGTGTGGACCTCTTTTGCAACAGGGTAAGCTCTGGTGGCCTGTTCATTTGCTGTTTGTCAGTATGTCAGTATGTCAGAGGTATCCACCAGTCAATGTGGTTTATGAACATGAACATACGTAAACAATACATACATTCACACATAGCATACAAAGCAACTAATGAACAAATGAAACGTATACGCACCCTCAAACACACGCACAGAGGTGGAAGAAATCATCTCACAGATACTTTCAAAGCAGTGTCAATAGTAAATTAAATATTACTCACAAAAGTAGTAGAATTGTATATTTGAGAGCTCTTGTCTATTGTAAGTAATCCATAGTAGTTTCGTGCTGTCATGTGTGTGCGCATTGGTTGACGAGAGTAACTTATGAATACAAGAAATTGCTACAAATACAAAGATACTCGTACACAAAGCAAATACACACACAACCGAAGGTGCCTTACTGAGTAAAATATATGTATGTACATATGTAGTGAGGAATTCATTGAGTAGTTTGACATTATGTAATGGTATAGGTTTTTTTATGCGCACATACATACGTACATGCAATAAAGCAACAAGTATGTGAATGTTATTTTTATGTGATGCACACATACATGCATACGTGTATGCGCGCGTTTCAAAAGAGAGACCTTTTTTCGAAGAGCTGCAGAACGTCGGTTAAGTTTGTGAATGACTTTGTTAATTCCTTGGTGATGTGAACAACGGGAGGAAGAGAAGAACAACAACAACAACAACAACAACGACAACAACAACAACGAAGGCATGTGATGATAGAAATCGCCTATATGCCTTTGTGTGTGTATGTATGTTTGTGTGTATAAAAATCAGTATTCAATGAAAGCATATTGGCATGCATTTTTATATTAGACAGATATTTCTCCGAGTCTCATCAGCATTCCCGCCTCTGTGTATGTGTGCGTACGTGCCTGGCTGTGTGCAAGTTTGGTTTTTTGGAGTTCTGACCTTGCGCGCTACTCGGCGCGAGCACTTATAATCAGACAGTAAGTGACTGCGAAACTGTGACCACGCCGCCGAACGACAACGAATAAAAGTGCCACCAGCACACCGTCATTGACAAGACGCAAAGACAAAAGGTAGTCAGTCAGTCAGCCAGCCAGCCAGCTCTAAATTAGCTGTGACCAGTCAGCCAACAAGCCAACAGCGAGTTAGCTAAACAGCTAACGAGCCAACGAGCTAACGAAGAGCCAACCAGCTGCTGCTGCTCTCCAAACACACTACGACGACAACGACAACGACAACGACAACAACAACGACAATGACAACGACAACGATAAGGATGAAGACGGCAATGTGGATGGTGGCTGTTTTAGTCCGCTTTGGTGTGGTGTGGTGTGCTCAGACGGTGGCATGTTAATTGAGTGCTTGCTGTAAACGTATTCGACCATTCAGTTCAGTCGTTGGTGCAGTGGTGCTGTGTCGTGCCGTGCTATGCGCGGCTCAGTGTTTTGCGTTTTGGACTGCGCTGTGTTTGTGCATTTGATGTGAACAAAGTTCTCTAAATCGACTGCGCATTACTTTGAATAATCAAACGCAAAATGAATTTAATTGTAATAATAACAAAGAAAAAAAGACAAAACAATTAAAAATGATAAACATAAATGAGACGAAAAAGGGAAGGAAATAAAAATTAACAAAAAATGTATAAGAGAAGTTATTTTTTTTTTAACAAAATAATAAAACAAAAACACAAAATAAGAAACTACTGTTTCTAAACATAAAAAAAAATTTCGATAAAACGTAAAAAACAACATTTTAGATTTAAATCGACAGAAAAAACTCTGTGTGAAAATTTTTTTTCTAAGAAGAAATGCTGGCGAAGTCTCTTTCATTCTGAAATATGCAATAAACTTAAATAGTGCCAATAAAAACTCATACAAAATTAATAGCGAGCAAAATGTTTGCGAACTACGCAGTTTCTCAACCCAACCAGCTACCCGCCACGACCTGGCGGTGGAGCCAAATCAGACTCAAAGCTTTTCTAAAGCAAAATTTTGTAGGTAGAGTGAAAAAAGCGGCGACGGCTGACGACGACGACGACGTTGACCGCGAACATGGCGATGAACGGCGCTTGTCAGTGATCTGTACATATTAGAGCGCAGCTCAACTCAACTCTCAACAAAGAAAAGTCCGACTTCAGGCGATGACAAAAGCCTTGCATTACATTACTTAGTACTAGCTATTTTGCGCTGCTAATAGCTGGCTTTTACACCGGCGTTCGTGTGACGAGTTGACGTGTAGTTGAGATTGAGCGTGGCGGAAGGGGATGCGTGTGGATAGGGGAGCTGGGCGTTATGCGGGCGCACGAGTACTCCCCTAAATTATCTACCACAGTGTGTGTAGGGCGAATCGCCTTCGTTTGTATTCGACTGAGTTCGGACATTCGGCATTTGACGAAGTGCCACCAGCCACTAACCACCGAAAACAAACCAAGGCGATCGGAATTTGACAAACAAAGAAAAAAAAACGAAAAACAAACGGAACGAGTAATGTCGCCAATGTGACAGTTGTTGTTATTATTATTCTTGTTGTTGCTGTTGTTGTTGTTGTTGTTGATTGATATTCGTTGACGGCAGCGTCGACGACTTTATAGCGCCACTTGAACAATTAATTTAGGACAAATGCAACAACAACAACAACAACAAAAACAGTAACAAACGAGCAACAGTAAAAAGTATTTTATAACAACAAAAACAACAGCAACAACAATAACAACACATCAGTAACAGTAATAAAAGAGGCTAAGACAATACAGTGAAAGAGTGAACTTTGAAATAAATTTAAAAATCATTTAGGCCCGACATACATACATATACGTGTACGTATAATATACATATTGTACAAACATTCATCCAGCCATCCACTCATAGACCTACATATACAGAAGATCTTTGGCTATGCGGATACATATGCTGGCAATCGAAAATGGTGATATTTTGTATTTTACAGCAGCAAGATGGCGCTGCCCGAATGTGTTAATCAGATAACTTTTACAGAATCCAGATAGTAAAGCACCATTTTTCTACTAATTTCATATATGTATAAATTAATTAAATATGAAATCGACGCGCAGTCCGCCTACAAAGGATGAAGGCGAATACAACTTTTTGCCCCTCAGACTGACAGCAAATAAAAAATAGTAAAGAGACCGCTTGCATTGGTTCTAGTTGTTTTAAGACTACATAGGAACTAGTTCGAAAAAAAACTATTTTCAAAGTATATGCACTCAATACTGACTAGTTACATAGTACGCTTCATTGGGACTACTTTCACTTTAAGTAGCTACATTTGCAACTAGTTGCTATCTAGTTTAATTCAAACAATGAGTTTTCAACAAACTCATCCTACTGCACTCAGCTTAAAAGCGAGAAGAAGCCCAAACCGCCAACACCTACAACAACTACATACAAACAATGAAAAGAAATGAAGCAATCAACAGCAACAAATGTAAAAATTATATATGTATGTACATATGTATATTCAAGCAAAACAAAAATGAGAAGAGGCGGAAGAAGTCGCAGTGGAGGCGTCAGAGGCACCGACATTTACAGCAGCAGCGGAACATTGTAGCGCCATCACCGCTCTTCAAATGAAATGGAAATTGAAAAGCTCAACTAAAGCAAAAGTAACAGCAACAGCAACAGCAACGGCAAAAGCAACAGTAATAGCAACGACGAAAACACTTCCGTCATCGCCGCGGCTGTTAGCACAAGCGTATAAAATAAAACTAAAACAGACTTTGCACCATTTTTCAATGGCACGAGCGCCGAGAACATTGAACTATTTTCCACTTTTTATATACATACATACATACATATGTATATGTATATGTATATACAAATGTATGCATATATTTATGTACATACATTCACATTAGTCTAAAAAAACATATATTTTTTTATGGAAAGTGTTGGCGCTGCTATATTGAAGCGATCGTTGGGACACTGATACACTACACCCAAAAAGTCACAGACACAGTTATTATTTGTATTGAAAAAACAAAAACAAAAATGAAAAACAGAAAGAAAAAACATAATCGTCAGTGGCTGTACTAAGTAAATGAGCAGCAACAACGGACGGTGAAATGTATTAGTCGACAATCAGAAAGAAACCAAAAAAATAAAAAAAAAAACTGTAGAGAACAGAAGAAACATTTTGAAAATTATGAAAAGAAAAAACATTGTCGTTGTTTTTGTAAAAGAATTCATGTGGACTGGGACTGAATGGAGAAAGCCCTGGCAAAACGCTACAACAACAACAACAAGCTAAATTCTAGCAGTGCGGTAAGTTAATAAATATAACTAAATTTTTAGCTTAAGGTAATTTCAAATGGGTATATATTGTAGATATATATAAGCCCTGTAAAAATGTATTTAAATGCACATCTATATTTGGGCATTTCCATAAAGAGATCCACCGGTAGCAAACAAGAGATCAAACGCAGACAAACTGTTCCTTTTAAAAAATTTAATATGAGATTAATAACCGTAAGCTCAGTGTTTTGTTATTATAAATCGAGTTGTAATTAATGTGTTTTAATTATAATTGAAATAGTAAAAAACCAAGATAAATAAAAATCAAGTTAACGAGTAAAATAAGGTTTTCAGGATTAATCGAAAGAAGCATTAACAATATTCATTGAATACAAAAAATATTAATACAATTTTACATGTTAATTTTGGCGATTTTCTTTTCGTTTTCATGATGATAGCGTCAAGCTTTGCTATCACCATAAGCCACTGACTGGTATAAAACGTTTACTGGGATGTTACAGTTATGCAGATAGTGAGGCTTATGTTGGTACTGAGAAGATTGTGGCGTAGGTGTAGGAATAATTTAAATGATAATGGTTTTGCTGACAAAAATTATTTCACAGCGTGTAAGCGCTCGTGTTCTATACATGCATAGCTACGTATGTATAAGCTTTGGTATCTGGTTAAGACTGCAAAGTAAACTTTCTTAATTATATAATCACTTCAAAGTATTAAAAATACGAATTTTGACCTGCGAATTCTTAGGTAGAACCATTTGCTCATTTGGAAGTCATGAGTTCGCATTTTGACCAAAATGAAAGCAAATTAATTTAAAATTATTTTTGATAAATACAATTGGGCAAATGGAACAGGTATTCCCAAGTATTTTTTTAGTCAATAATTAACCACTACTGTAGCTGTTTGCGATTTGGAAGCAGACCTTTCTGTGCCACCTGGTGCCACAGACATTTATATTTTAGTTGATTTTTTTTTTAATTCGGTACAAAATTAATTCAATACATTTTTATAGTTAGATTCATTGGTTTTATATATATGTATTTTAAATCATAGGTACATATAGCTGTATAGATATAATATACTACATATGTACATGCAATGTTGGTTATGCCGCAGATACAATGAAGAATTTAAAACTCTTATAATGTATGTACATCCAAACATATACACATTAGACACACACACACACATACATACACATTTTACATATGAACACAGTTAAATTTTTTCGTGTAAATCAAAAACTTCGCTTCGCTTTTGTTTGCGTGCAGATGAATGAATTAATTAAACCGTCTCGCTACTTAAGTAAAACGATATGCGTTTTAAGAACGCTTATGTGTTGCATACACTTATATGTATATTGCACACATATCTAGGCATGCACAAGAGCATAAGAGAGCGTAAAGCATTATGAGAGTCCGTTCATTTAAAAAAATCAACTTGTACTCTCACAATAAATATAATCAAATGTGCGACAATGAGTTATTGAGAGTAAGTATGCTGATCACTGTTTGTGTAAGTGTTTCAATGAGCATGTGAGTGAGTGTGTTGGAGGGGTTGCCAGATTATATAAATAAGATAATAATTTATCCTACAGCTTTTAAGAAAAAATTGCAAACGGATATTTCGGTCTTTGGCTTTTCATCGATTGATTTTAGCTTTGGTAAATTTGTTTTTTTTTTTTGCATTAACGGCACGGATTTCTAAGTTGCTTAATACAAACTTCCTTTTTTATAGCTAATGAAGTAGTAAGAAATTGTTAGTGAGGCATACTTATAGGCGAAATTGGGAGACAACTTTAATACTTCAAATGTCGGTTCTACTCTTACATTATTTTAATAAAAATAATAAAAAAAAAATATAATAAAAAAAAATATCTTCAGAAGTTGTGTAGTCTACTTTAATGCTTAGAGATCATAATCATAATCATATTACCATATAATCATATTGAGTGACTATTTATAATTATATACATATATGCTTATAGTATATTCGATGTGTGAAAGATAACTGTTTTATATATATAATCATGCCAATAAGTAAATTGTTTTGCCTGTAAGTGCATGCAATTTAACATTTACTTATCTCCATCTATCTTAATGTGAGCATCATCACACTACATACAGACTATAAAACAGATATTAAAGTAGTTGAGCTCAGTTGGGAGTTTTTGAAGAGATTGAAGAGCTATTTTAAACAAACTTAAAAATTTGGACAATTTCAATAACTTGAACAAAAGCTATATATGATTATTATAGATACATATGTGTGTACATATGTACTACAATATATACATATATGTATATATATGCATATATGTATGCATATTGACCTCGCTTTGTTTGAGTAAGTAAATATGCGTGCTTCTCATTGGCATATGTAGAGCAAACGTTTAAATGCTTCAAGTGACTACTCTCGATGATGGCCGACTTGTTTTTTGACTATTTACATATGCACATTTGTATGTATGTACATATGCAGGTCGCAATTTTTAATGCGCAATACACTTTTTAAGCACAAAAAAAAAAATAAGAAAACAAATCAAAAACTCAATGTGCCCAGAAGTGATCTAAATGTATTAAATATATAATAAAGTGTAAATGTATGTGGATATTTTTTTTTAAGAAATATTACATGCTTGTATTGTCTATTATCCCTCATTCCTGATGATCTTAGGCATTGCCATTGAAAATACATATGTTTGTGTGCATGTATGTGTGTTCAAAATTCAAACTACCCTGTTGGAAATAAAACCATAGTACCAAATGTCATCGAAAGGACATTCCAGTTTGATTTTGAAAAGTTTGGCAACGCTGCGCATCTAAATTGTCACACAACTGCTTATTTATCATATTGCCAGACCGCAGAATTAATGCGCATTAAGAGCCGCAATGAGTACAGTTTGAATGAAAGCTCAAGTATAAAAACACGCTGCGGTGATAATTTTTGTTGATTTTGTGAAAGTTGGTATGGCTAATGTAGCATTAACTCGGGCATAATTTACTGGCGTAGACACCGCTTACGCGATTTTAGCCGATTTAACAGCATTGCTCCATTCGTTTTTTCGCTTTGCTGTTTGGCGTCAATTGGAAATACCAACTACAGCCAAGTTCTTCTCTACCTGGTCTTTCCAACGGAGTGAAGGTCTTCCTCTTTTTCGGCTTCCACATCGAAAACTTTTAAAGCTAAAGTATTCACATCCATCCGCTGCTTCTTGATTCACTGAACTATATCAAGAGGTATTCGCCGTTGCTAATGCGTAAAGGACCATAAATCTTACGCAAAACCTTTCATCGCCCATGCTACCGCACCTGTAGAGTTTGGTTTTCGTTCGTCGGTAGAGGACTTTACTGTTACAGTGTGTAGCACCTGTTGTCAAGAGTGATTCTGCGCTGTATTTCAAGGCTGACGTTACTATTGTTGGTAATGCTGGTTCCTCGACAGACGAAATTATCCACGATTTCATGGTTACGACTGTCAACAGTGACGTGGGAGCCAAGTCGCGAATCCGATGACTGTTTGTTTGATGACAGGAGATGTTTCGTCTTGTCCTCGTTCACTAGCTTCGCTTTGCTTCTTTATCAAGCCTAGAGATGTAGAACTAATGGAGCGGATGTTGAAGCCGATAAATTGAAGAAGTCATACGACAAAGAGTCACCATGTCTGAAACCTTGTTTGATGCCAAACGGCCTGGAGAGCTCCTTCCCAATTCTATTTAAATAATCAGAAGGTAATTCACTTAAAATTAAGAAATACAAATTGGTACTTAAATTCCCTAATATATTATATGTATGCCAAATTAAATGCTTAATATATCACTGCATACTTTTAGGCGTATATGCCACACGGATTGTTTAAATCTCTTGTTGTTATTGCTTTTTCATTGAGTTTTAATTTATTATTGCGGAATGTCGTAATTCGAAAAATTCTGTGAATGTTTCAGAATCACTCTAAGCATATGCTTAATAATAAGTTCTAAAATCTTTATTTAAATAATTAAGCCACTCTTCTTCTTCTCAAAAGTATACTGACACTCACGCCAGCTTCTGCAATCGCTCATAAAGTCGTAATTTTACTCATAAGTCATAAGTAGGCTTTTCTTTTATTATTTTAAAACGTATTCCTGATTTGCTTATTATGTATTTTAGTTTTTAAAGAAATTCATTTCAGTTACACTTGGGTTTTTCATATCTTTATCTAGTTTTGTTGTATTCCGTTTCCTCGTTTCAATTTGTTATACAATGATTTTTTTTTCTTAATCGTATTTTTGTATGTTATTTTTTCTTTCATTTCCAAGTTTGATGACGCACAAAACTAAAGAGGTGTTTGGTATTATTTGTGTAGCCTTGTAATGTTTTGACGTCATTTCATTGAATTTTATTTGCACCTTTTATGTGAAATTTCACCTTTTATATATTCGTGCGGTCGGCCCTGAGGTGCGGAAAATAAAGATGAGACGCAAGCAATTACGAAAAAATATACAAAATGTAAATAAATGCAAACATTATGCATAATATAAACAAACATATAGTGTAAGTATGTAATGGTGTTTGTATATACAAATGTTTGTATTTATGTATTTTTGACCGAGTCCACATATGTATGTACGTAATATAGAAATAAGAGTTCGTGAAATGAAAACTTCCATTCCCTAGGAATACGTTTTTAAACAGGTGAAAATGCAAAATTTTATACAAATTTTATGCATGAAAACCGATTGCCGTACTCGGGATATACATATTTTTATAAATATCAACGTAAAGTTTAGGTAGAAATTGAGAAATTCGCGTAGCTTAAAAAATATGTAGATCTTTAATGTATCTGGCCATTCTCTACTCTTCTAATTTCCATACATCGTTGTCCCTTTTCCAAAAAATTTGTAATTTTTACTCTTTCATAAGGCACTAACTTCCCGACAGACACATTTTAAGTGACCTACATATATAGGTGTATATTTATGCATACATACATATGTATGTACATTAATAATTTCTCCTTTGATAGACAGTCCT